GCAGGCTTCCGTCATGGCTGGGTGGGATTATGATAACAGTGCTGGGAGGTCCCCACCTGCACCTCAGGCCAGATTGCAGAGGGTGAGAAAGCAAAATAAAAATGTCAGATTCCTACTGGGGATTAGGAGGCACTCAACTCTAGCTAAGTTTTTTTCTCCTTGAAGAAGGGGAAAAAAAGAAAACAGAAAACCCAACCCCAATTCTTCCATCCTTCTCAACAGTCCATAAAATCACAAGTTAAGGGATAAAAAGAAGAGACACAATTCAGCAAATAAGTGAGGAATGCTTTGCCTGAACTGATACATTTTTCTATCAGTTTGAGGCCAGGAAAGCAAAAGAATTTCTGTTCACACCTCTGGCGTGAACAAGGGCTGTTTCCAGGAGAGAGATACCTCCAAAATAGGGAAATAGAAGAAATTGCAGTCTGTCAATTATTCACAGTTTAGTCTGACAACTATCTAAAATGTAGCCAGAGACAGTGTGGGGAGCAGATTTTAAAAAGGGCTCCCAGTGGTCCCCACTTCCCGGTATCTGTGCCCTTGTGTGATCCCCTCTCGTTGAATGTGGGCTGGACCTAGGGACTTGCTTCAAACAAACAGAATATGGGAAAAATGATGGGGTGCTACTTTTGAAATTAGGGTAGAAAAAAGACAGATTTAATGTCTTATTCTCCCCATCACCTGCTTGCTCTAGGGAAGCCAGATGCCATGCGCTGAGTTCCTCATGGGGTGAGAATCAAGGGAGGCCTCCAGCCAACAGCCACAAAGAACCAAGGGTCTCAGGTCCACCATCTTGAGGAACTAAATCCTGCCAAAGACCACTTGAATAAGTTCAAAAGCAGATCCTCCAGCCCCAGGCGAGTCTTAGGATGAAACCACAGCCCCAGCTGATACTGTTTGCAGCCTTGAGAGCTAGAGGACTCAGCCAAGCCACATCCAGGTTCCTGACCCACGAAACTGCTAGATGACAAATATGTGTTTCTTTGAGCCATTAAAACGTGGGGTTGCTTGCTATCCAGCAATGGATAACTAATGCCCATGACTAAAGTGGGTGGGCATACGAGCCTGCCCAGGGCAATACTATTCGACCACATTCTCCTGCTGAAATTTCTTTGACAGTTTTGGAACCAGATGATCCCAGCTTAGACTGAAGCAGCCATTCTCAATTGTTTACGTGTGAAGACTTCATTCCAATGGAACCTTATGGAAAAGTTCAATTTGTCAAACAGACCAAAAATAAGCTGCTCTGGCTGAACTGGAGGTAAGGGCTCCATTAGACACCCAACTCTGACTAATGTGCTCAGAGGAACCTTCTGTCCACCTTGAAAATTCCATAGGAACCATTGGTCTAGCTGGTCGGGGCAGGCCTGTCCCAAGAATACTCAGTGACAGGAGGTGTCATCAATGACTGACTTCAAGATAATGCAATTTTTCCCCTGCCCTCACCACCAGCATAGACTTGGGTGAGTCCCAGGCTAAGGCAGGGAGGATGGAAAGCTTCTGCGGCATCTCCTGTAGGGCTTTTCTCCTTCCTCCCAGCTCTCCCTGTTCTGTCCCCACCCTGAGCTCTGCTGTTCCACAGAGACATGCCTCCATCAGCCAGCCAGAAGCCCCTGCTGAAGATGGACAGGTATGGCTCATTCAGCCATCCTGCCTGGGAGATACTCAGTTATAAAAGGGAAAGAAGGAAAACCAAAAAGGAAGGAATCTGCAATGCTGGAATTTCATACTCGGGACAGGCTGGCGGGGAGATGGGCAGCCTCGCTCCATGCTGGTCACTGTGAGAGAGGCCTGGAGTGTTCTGCTGCCCTGAGGTGCAGAGATGGAGATGGGGCAGAGGCACCGGGTCCCAGCCATGCCTCTCTCTGTAGTCATGAGCTTCTCACCTCCTGCTGCACAGACCTGTGGTTCCACTCGGATCCCAGCACAGAATCGCACCTGACATTGGGTCTCCTGGTTCTGAGCAGCTGGACCTGGTTCCATCCCTGTGGGGAGGCGGCCGCACCTGCAGGTCCTCCTGGGATCCTGACTGATGCTCAATAGACAAATCACCATGTGAGGAAGCGCTGCAGGGAGGAGGGCGTCTCCATTCCCCAAAACCCAGCAAGACAAATCCAAAGGGATCCAGGAGCACGGAGCGGGCAGGAGCCTGCTGCTAAGGAGAACGAGTCAAGTGTTCTCATGCTTCTGAGGTTATCTAACAAGATGCACAGGCTCACGTGGGATGGACATCATTTCAGGGCAAAGATGATGCACTGAGTGTGGGATGGGTATTTGTGTCTTGATTTTTTAAAAGCATTTTAGGTGCATAGAAAACTATTCTGCAACAAACCATTCCACAAAGGATATCAAACTTTACAAGTACAGTGGAAGCTTCTAGTGTAACTCTCCACCATCACGTTTGCCTCCCTCCCTCCGAGAATCACACCTGAACTTTAGGTTTACTATGCTCGTGTATTTCACTTTCACTGCATTTTCATGCATGACCACTTTTCCAGTTTATTTTAACCTCTGTAGAGTACTCCACACCACGAGCTCCAGCTGGTGGACATCCGGGCTGGCTCTGTGTTTTTCATGATCACAGACAAACAAAGCTGCCATGAATGTTCCAGTGCCTGGGTGCATGTGACACACTTGTGGCCAATGAGGATGCAACAGGCCTTTTATTGTGGCTTCTGGGACAGCAGAGGTTCTTTTCTGCTGGGCTTAATCTGTCCTGTCATGATAGGAGATACTCTCTAAGAATGGTCCTGAGAGGGAAAAAGAAGAGCCAAGAGTCCAGGAGACACTCCTCCGGACCTGATGACATCGTTGCAGCCTCTAGATCCAGCTGTGCCTGCAACGAACAAGGCAAAGCTGGCACATTTTAGTTACCCAATGTTATAAAATACTTTCATTTAAAGCTATTTAACTCAAGTTTTCTGTTGCATGCAACCAAGAGTGCTGTCTGATGAAATCTTCCAATTATATGATGTTTTTACTTTAAAAGGAGTGTTCGGTGCCTCCACCTGAAAGGAGCAGTAATGGTAGGACTGAAGGCACACAGCAGTCCAATGGTACTTAGAGGGTCCCTAAAATTATACTGCGTGGCCGGTTATCACTCAGTCCCTAGATTCAGCTGGTTCTGCAAGAAGAGTCATCAAGCCATTAGCTCCCTTCCTTCCTTTCTCCTGAAGATGTCCTTCTTTACCTTTAAGACAGAGCACCCGAGTAGCTTTGGGTGGTTTCAATTAGGCCTTCAGCTAAGAAACAGAAGGAAAATTTAAGGCCAGAACCATCGGAATCCGATGATGTGTACTTTCAAGAATTTTCCAGGAGGAGCCGACCTCATTCAGGACTTTGATGCTGGATTGAGTGCTCTGGTTCCACTCACAGCTTAAGAATGCTTGACCTTTGATCTGCTAAGGCCTCAGACAAAGGGCAGACGATGACATGCATGGAGAGAAAAATAGTTTTCTGGTTACAAGGATAATTTTTAATTGCTCTGCAGTTGATGATTATCTAAATTTGAGTTTTGGTGTTTTGTTGTTGTTGTTGTCAACTTAAAGCAGTGAAGGATCCCACTAGCCTTCAGGCCTTACTATCTAAGCAGGATGAACTGACACCTGCAGAATAAGATCTGCATCTGTCACGGCTTAGTTGGATTTCAGGCCATGTCCTTTCATCTTGCTAATCAGTTTTCCTGATTTCCTGGACTAATAACTCTTTCTCTGGGCTCCATTAGCTGCACATGGCATTTCTCTTGTAAAGACCTTTCAGTTTATGTTCTTATTTAAAGCAGTGTTTGATGGACACCAGGCTTGCTTATTGAGTAATGTCTCTGACCCTAGGTCAAAGCAGAAAATGGGATTTTTGAGAAAGGTCACAGAAGTAATGGTTGCCAGGATCAGCACAGTGAGCACGGACCCAGGGCTCAGAGGGCTATGGCAGGCAGCAGGAAGCATCATGGTGATAAACTCCCGGGATCCTGTCTGAAGTCAAGTACCAAGGACAGAGTGCAAGCGTGGCAGTTCACCAAATTTATTCCAGAAGGCGAAGCTTGCCCCTTCTCCTTGGTATTTGACTTCAGATAGAACCCTGGAGTTTACTGCCACAATTCAGACCTGACGAAGGACTGAGTTTTTCTAGGTGAAAAAAATACCACACAGTTACCAAAGTGAGTTGCACGTTGTAGAACATTTCAGTTCACAGATTTAACATCACAGGCTTTAATGATTTGTAAATGGCTCTGTGTGTTAATTGGGATGGCTTATGGGCAGTTAACAAAAGATCCCCAAATCTCAGCAGCTTAAAATAAGAAACAGCTAATTCTCTCAAATGCTATGTTTCCCTTCTGTGAATGCGGTGGTGTCTGCACATTGTATTTGCTCAAGACCCCAGCCTTCATCCTGACACATTTCTGGAAAGTCACCGTGACAGGTGGAAGCTAAAGTGGTTTAATGAACACTGGCTCAAAAATGATACACGCTGCTTCCACTCACATGTCTTAGACGACACCAGTCACATGACTGCACCAAACGGCAAGGTGGCGGGGAAGTACAATTCTACAAGGTGGCCGGGAAGTGCAATTCTACCAAAAGGCAGGAAGGAAGCCCTTACATATTTAACAAATAGCACTGATGGCCCCCGTACCCCATCACGTGCAGCCGTGCGGAGCTTGGCTAAGTCATGAATTTGATTCCTGTGCGGCCAAGCTCGGGGGTGTGACAATACCTCCAACCTGGTGATGAAGGCTGGCCCCCCACTCAGCATTTGCAACCCAGAAAGGTTTGGAAATGTCTCTCATCCATGTTGTGTTCAAATAGATAAGAAATTGATTAAAAATTCAGATTCTTGGTGAACAACGATCTCTGAGCAGAAATCCAAAAAAAAAAAAAAAAAAAAAAAAAAAAAAAAAGTCAGTGGTTTTAGCCAGAAAATGGCTCTTTTGGAACAAACAAAACTGTGAAATGCGAGTGTAACCAAGATTAGTGAAATGGATGAGACCGCATTATATGCTGAATGGAAGCTTAAAAAACTATTTATGAGACTGTTTTGGTGGGGCTGCAGCCTGTGAAATAGCTGCATTTTATGTGGGATGTAATGTAGACCACAGAACCATTCACAAAGATGAGAGTTCTCGGTGGTCCCTGGAGCTGGAGTCCAGCTGCACGTGGAAAGAGTGCCCGCACGGTTGGACGGCCTGGATGCTAAAGTCAAACATAGCTGTTGAATGCTCTTCTCCTGCTCCTGTGGTCTCTGAATATATATATGAGAGAGAGAGAGAGAAAGAGAGAGAGAGAGTGTATACAGAGTGTATACAGTTGTCCCTCAGTATCCATGGGGGATTGGTTCCAGGACCTTGCTTGGATACCAAAATCCATGAGTGCTCAAATCTCTGATACAAAATGGTGTAGGTTTTGCACATAAACTAAACACATCCTCCCGTATATTTTAAATCATCTCTAGATGATTTATAATACATAATACAATGTAAATGCTATGTAAATAGTTGTTATGCAGTGCTGTTTAAGGAATAATGTCAAGAAAAATGTCTGTGCATGTTCAATGCAGACACAATTCATTTTTGAATATTTTTGATCCTCGGTTGAATCTGCAGGTATGGAGAGATGGCTACACACACACACACACACACACACACACACACACACATTTTAAAGTGTACTGTGAATGTAAATCTTTAAGGGTTTAAAAATTTATTTTGAATTACGTTATTGGAATTATCAATAGTACCCAACTGATGAAAACAATATAAATAAAAAGTGATGCATGATGATCTTTCAAAATGAAAAGAATATTGATATTGAAAATGCATCTCTCCAACAGCTGAATGGTATCATGGAATTTTGCTCAAAGGGGCCCTGGCCCCAGATCCCAAGGTTCTGAGTCATCCCTTTGTTCGATACCCTCGAGGCAGAGCACCATGGAAAGGTTTGGAATGGGTGGGAAACTATGCTCTCTTTGGCAAAACGGGAGAAGGAGAATTGGAAAAAGGTGATGGGAGGAGACAATAGGCATGTTGACCACCTAGCAAGCATGCTCTCTGCAGGTCAGTTTAGGAGATGACAGTAGTTGGAAGTATATGAGCCATCCTTGCCCCTCTGCCGCTTGGAAAGTGTTGTGGGTCCCCAGGTGGCCTTCCTCTGTTGGGCCAGCTTTGCTCCACTCATGAAACTATTGTTCTGGCTTCTCTTTGTCTTTGCTCAAATAGGAATAGAGTAAAGATATAGACAGAGCCAAAATAATGTGAGTTGCATTTGGTCCTTTCAAAGTCAGTGTCTTATTTGTCAAGTGCACGGAATAGGAGTTGATCTCCCTCTTCCTTAAGCTCCCACCCCTCTCCATGTTGCAGAGAAAGTCCAGTTTAGCATGTCAGGACACTCTTACCTGTTCCTCCTCTTCTGTCTCCCTTCTCTCCAGGACCCCACCTCTGCTCCTCTCCCGTCTTCCTTCCACTCCATCTTTCTATTCATCTTCGGTTTGGGTCTAGCTTCTCTTCCTATCTTTTTTCTCCCTAAACATTTCCACAGAATTAAATCTTGAAAGCAATTTGCATAAAACCATTTCAAAGGGTCCAAGAGTGACATTTCTTTATGGGCCTGGGTCAATAGCTTTGACAAATGAGGCTGATATCAAGGAAAACAAATTGTTAGTGTTATACTGAAATTTTGCTGTGGGTATTAAATATTTGCATGAGGTAACCAAATACTCTAGGGTTTAGGCAGATGAATTCCTTTCCAAAACCACTAAAATGAAAAGCTAACTGCAAATGAGGTGTGAAATGGACCTGCCTGTCCTCTGAGATTTCGCAGCGACTAATGGATTAGTCCCCAAGCGGAACACAAACCTACTTCGCTTTCACAGAAGCAAAGAAGACTAATAAAGGCGGTGTCTCTACGCAGCCCTGAATCAACCAGGGCTCCGTCAACCTCTGTTTAATAGCCTCATGCTTCTCAGCTGAGCTTCTTAATTAAGTCACAATAAGAGCTGGCCCTTAAGAAATCCCTGAACACCTGAGTTCTTGGTTTAATATTCTTCACTAGTGTTGGTGCCAAGAAACGGCTTGGAAAGGGAAGTTCATCCACCCCTCTCTGAATCTCCATTAGTGTCCCACTAAGAAAACACATACATAAAGTATAAGCATTATGAAACTGTTCCATTTTTATTTATCTGAAATATACATGCCAAGTAGAAACTGTGAATGCTCTGCTGAGGCAGCTTTGAGATAAGCGTCCTATGCCTATCATCATGGCCCCTTATTGAACATAGAAAGCTGGGCTTACGCTCTAACAGCAATTGTCTCCAAATCTCAGTGGTAATCACACCAAGAATTTGTTTGTGTATTAACTTACGTGCTTATTTATGGTTGGTTTGTCTTTTCCAGCTCACCCTTGCAGGCAGCATACCCGTGTGGACTCAGCCATCCTGGAGGTTTTCATCTGGCTCTGTCAACCTTGAAGCAGCAACCTCCACCATCACAGTGCCGGGTAGACGGTCTGGAGTTTGCGCACCTGCCAAGAAACACGTAGGTCTGGAGTAACACACGATGCCTCCTCCATCCAATTGTCTAGAATGAGTCCCACATGCCACCCTCCCCAGTTTCACAAAACAAAGGGGAAGTGATATCCCTTTGTTTCTGGAAGGGAGAGAACACTTATAAACAATAAAAGCTTCTTTGGAATCCTCTTCCAACCAAATTTCCATCTCCTGTATAAAAATTCCAGAGCCACCAATAGAGGATCACAACTTTTTTTCAAAAGAAATCAACAGTATTTGGTTTATTCTTTTTTCTCCTAAGTAAGGCAGTGCCAGGATGGGAGTGAATCTCTGGGCCAATCTGTGACCACAGAGGCAAGTCTGGTGTACCTTGGAGGAGGCTGTCTCTCGCCCAAGCATCTCTGCTACCATCTGGAGTGAGACCAAAGCTGTTGAACCAGCTGACCTGGGAATCTCCGTCCCAACTTTCCAGTCAAATGATTGAGCAACCGCACCTTTCATTCACACAGATTGTCTGTCTCCCCTATTAGTGTACCCATTTGACCAAGGCAGGCCTTCTCTTCACTTGTTCTGTTCTCTGCTGTATCCCTGGAGCCAAGAACATGCCCAAAGTAGTGGCTCAATAAATGTCTGCTAAATAAACGAACTCCTTGAGCCCCAGTTTCCTCATCTGTCCCAGGTAGATACTGTTAATAAGAGTTGTCTTGAGAAGTACATTTTAAAAATATCTTTAAATGCTTTGCAAAATGTAAAGTCCCATGCACGGGGTGAGTTGGTGTTCCTCTCATTCCATACTGAGGGCTTGTGCAGACAGACTGACTGTGGCCAGAAAGCCAACCTGTGTTTTCCCAGCTGGTATGTTCATGGTCCAGAATCTCGCTTGGGAAACACAGGGTTTCTAAACTCTTCAGCTTTCAGAGTCAATCTTTCATTTACGCTAAACCCAGCTCTTCCTCCTTGCTAGTCGATCAGCAGACAGTTCAATTTTTTCCTGGGTTTCAAATCCTGGGCATGTTCAGCATTTCTCTTTTCTCTCTGCTCTGCCCAACAAGTCACTCACCCCCACTATTCATGCTTCTCTCCCTGCTTATCCCCATCAGGGTGGCAACAGTGACTGCCACTGTCCCAGTCCTCAGAGCCACCAGGCACCCCATCCACAGGGAAAGCTCCTTTGCCCTAACTTTTCCAGCAATAATCCCCAAATATCCTCTTAAACAGGGAGGAATAGATCACACGCACCCTCCAAACCAAACAAGATGGCCTGGGGATGAAATGCATAGACTGACCTAGACTTCATTTAGGCACTATTTGAATAAATGTGTACCCAGCAGGTACCAAGCTGCAGGCAGTGTTTGTTCTAGGCGATGGCAAATCAGTGGCAGAAAAGACAGAAATCCCTGCGGGTTGTGAAGTGGATGCGATAGTTGGTCGTACATTTCCTATAGCTGCTGTAACAAATTACTCAAACAGCAGCTAGAATAACTTTCATTTGTCTCTTGCAGTTCTGCAGGTCAGAAGCTCAAAAGGGCTAAAATCAAGGTGTTGCCAGGAGTGTCCTCCTCTGCAAAGGCTGCAGGGGAGAATTCGTTTCTTTGCCTCTTCTGGCTTCTAGAGAACACCAATATTTTCCGACTCCTGGCCCCTCCTCTGTCTTCAAGGACAGCAGTGGAAGGTTGAACCCCCCCTGTTGCATCATTGTCACCTTGCTTCCATCTTCACGTCTCTGACTCAGACTCCCCTGCCTCCCTCATTCACCTTTAAGGATCCCATGATGACATTGGGCCCACCTGGATAATCCAGGGACATCTCCCCATTCCCAAGGTCAGTGGATTAGCAACTTTAATTCCTCCTTCTCACATAAGGTAACACAGTTACAGGTTCTGGAAATTAGGACGTGACATCTTTTGGGGGCCATTATTCCACTAGCCACACTACAGCACACTTACCCTGTGAATCCGCAGCACCTTCCTTACGCTTACTTAAATCTTCACCCTGTGACTATTCCCATTTGATCTTCACCCTGTGACTATTCCCATTTGATCTTCACCCTGTGACTATTTCCATTTGGGACAGATGAGGCAGGCAGGTGTGTATTTTCTCCCAAGTCACGTAGTTGGTAGGTGGCAGAGCCTGCCCCAGAAGCTGCGTGCTCAGTTCTGCCCTGTGTTGCCTTTGACTAAAACAAAATCAAACTTGGCTCCCATCATGCTAGCCGCTGGAATTCCACTGACTGTCCATGACTATCCAACACAAAGGAAGTGGAGTAGATCAGGGAATGATCCATATTTGGAGATTGTTAAGGAGGGAAAACACCAATTTTGTTTTGTTCTGGTCTCATCGATAGTACAAACATGGAAAGGTGCTTTCAACTCATCCATCTGGTGTTTCCTCATGCGACAAATATTTGTGGAGCACTTACTATGTGCCAAGTACTGATGTGGGCACCGTGTGACCTAACTCATAACTTTCACAGCAATTCCAGGGCATGGGTGCTCTGAGCTTGGTCTCTCCCATTTTACAGATGTGGAAACTGAGTCACAGAGTGATGCACTCACTAGTTACTCACCTGGGTCCCCTTTGGATGGATGCCACCTCACTCTAGAGCCCACGCTGTCACCACCGCACTCCATCCCAGGTCAAATGTCACCACCGTTGTGCAGACACCCCTGACCTTCCTGACAGAGTTCAGGACTCCCTCCGGGGACTCCCTCGGGCTCTCTCACTTTTCTCTTTGGGCTCTGGTCAAATGGTGCTAAAATTTTTATCTGCACATGTGCCTCCCCTGTAGCCTGCCAGCTTCCTGAGAAGACAGACTGGCATTATATTCCCAGGGACTGGCACAGGTTAGGGACTTCAGCAATGTTTGTGAATGAATGGGTGATTGAATGGATAGATTGTGGGACTTCAGCAATTCCTTGTTATTTGTTTGTTTGTTTTAGACAGAATCTCGCTCTGTCACCCAGGCTGGAGTGCAGTGGTATGACCTTGGCTCACTGCAACCTCGCCTCCCGGGTTCAAGTGATTCTCCTGCCTCAGCTTCCCAAATAGCTGGGATTACAGGCATGCACCACCACACCCGGCTAATTTTTGTATTTTTAGGACAGAGGGAGTTTCACCATGTTGGCCAGGCTGGTCTTGAACTCCTAACCTCAAGTAATCTGCCCACCTCAGCCTCCCAAAGTGTTAGGATTACAGTGTTGTGAGCCGCCATGCCCGGCCTTCAGTAATTCCTATTGGTGCCTTAGGCACTCCCTTGACCCTTGGGTATGTTTCTGTGTGCAGCTGACAGAGACAGGGTGATACACACAGACACAGGGAGAGTGGGAGACAATCACAGACATGAAGAGAGGCTGGGAGGCCCAAATAAGCCCCAAAAGAGGACGGGGAAAAGAAGGAGGATGGAGGAGAAGGAGCCTCCAATGCAGTTTAAGCCCCGAAGGTGGGGGTGTCAAGAGCAAGGCACCTCTCCACCCCTCCCACCTCCCTCCAGGCACTGGGCCTCATGCCATTCATTGCTCAGGCAAAGCGAACTCCTACCCCAGGGCCTTTGCACAAGCAGTTTCTTCTGCCTGAAATATTCTTCCCCTAGGTCTTGACCTGGCTCTCTCTGTCTCACTATCTGTGTGTATATTCGGGGGGTGAGCTCAGAGAAACCTTCCCCAGTGCCTTTCAGAAATAACTCACCGTAATTCCACCAAAATTGCTGTTACTGTGTTTCTTTCCAAACCATGAGCCCCAGGTGGCAGTGTGCTCTTTGTTCACTCGTTTCTTTTGTCCACCCCATGGAGTGTGGCAACAGGCATGAGGGCTGGGCAGGCTCTGTTTAGGTTCTGCTTTAGTCCCTGTGTCCAGCACGCAGGAGTTACTCATGTTTGTATTGGATATTGTGGTGGATAAAAGAAGGAAAGAGAGAGGGAGGGAAGAATGAAAGAAAGAAGGAAGCTCCCAGCGGCTCTCCTTGCTAAACCCCACTGCAGAATGCTATGTGCAGAGGCAAATAGAAATTCTGCTCAGGAAGCAGGCAGGAAAGCTGTGGCCTCTGTGCAGTGTCTGTGCTGTAAGGGTCGAGGTCGGAACGCCAGCTCTTAGCAGCTCTGGCCAACAGGATGCTCTTCTAGAAGGCATGTGTCTTTCCTGAAGCAGCCAGGGGCCTGGGACAGGCTCTTTGAGGCCTCCTCTATGCCTTATTATGGCAGAGAGGGCTCCGAACATGCCTCAAGCAACAAGAAAGAGCAGGGAAATACAGAACCAATGCAGGCCTCCACGTGGGTGTCATCTCAGAGGAAGGAGCAAGGTCATCTGTCCCCTGCAAGGGAAGAAAGAAACCCTTTTCTTTGCTTTCATTTGTTCTGAGGCCTGGAACAGCAGCTGTACTTTTTTTCCTGGCAAGCTGGAGAATTAGGGAGGGCACAGATCTCCTTTAAAAGGCAAAATATTTCTCTCCATTCTCGGGAACCTCAGTCGAAAGGAAACCCTCACCACTCTGAGGCCTGTTTTGTGCCTTCCCCTGTCCGTGCGGCAGGCCCCAGTCTCAGCCTCAGCAGAGGTGACATTTAAGGGATGGCCCTGGAGCCGACCCCACTGCCTCTAGCATTATGACCAGGCCTCGATTTTCTCTTCAGTAAAGAGAGTCTGATAATTTCTCCTCTCTCAAGACTGCTGTGGGGGTGGATGAACCCTTGCAGGCCATGAGGTGGCAGCTCCAGGGGACAGATGCCTGCCTGTGGGAATGAGGCCCCGTGCAGCCACCTCCTTCTTCTTTAAAGACAAATCAGAAATCTGAATGGTTTATCTGGAGTCTCCCAACTGATTAAAAATAATTTCAATGTCTTACGGTCTGCACTCAGTCAGTCTCCTTAACTATGTAGAAGTGGAAGGAGCAATGAACTAGGAGTTAAAATGCTTTGTAATTGAGGCCCAGCTCTGCTACCTCCCAGTGGGGTAACTTGACCTTCCACTTTGCCAGGACTCAGTTTTCCCATTTGTAACTTGGGGATACTAGCCACACAGTCAATGAACAATGGGTTGCTGCAACATTTAAATGAAATAATGTAAATGAAAAGACTTTGAGAAGTGCAATCCATTCATTCACTTGCTCATTAACTCAATAAATAATCATTAGTGAGCTATTTTGGAGCAAACACTGTTCTTGATTCCTGGGGTGTAGAAAGACAGAGTAATACGGTCATTAAAGGTGGGGACTCTGAACTGGACTGCCTAGGACCACATTCAGGCTCTTTCACTCACTCACTTTGGGAGAGGCAATAATAATACCTGACTGAAAGGATTATTGTCAGGTTTAAAAGAATTAATATACTTAAAGCATTCACAACATGCCTGGCACAGAACAGTTGCTATAGAAGCCTTTGATCATAAAAGATCATTTTCTTTAACATGAACAATGAAGAAGTTAAATTACACTTTAAGAAGAGATAGCTGAATATCTTACCTTAAGAAAATACTGGAAGGCTTAAAGGAATAGAGCAATGAACACTGGTATAACCTTTTAGAAAGTTTTACAGCCAAAATTCTTTAAATACAAAGTGAAGTTTTAATTATTAATCATTAACCATCGAGAACACACAGATACGTGGAATGTCTTAATTTATTAGGTGCTATGGTTTAGATATTTGTCCCCTCCAAACCTGATGTTGAAATTTGATCCCCAGTGTTGAATGTGGGGCCTAATGGGAGGTGCTTAGGTCATGGGGGTGGGTCCCTCATGAATAGATTAATCTCCTCCCTGGGGAAGAGAGTAAATTCTCCCTCTATTAGTTCCCCATATAGTTGGTTGCTAAAAAGAGTCTGACATTCCCCTCCCCCTTACTTCCTCTCCCACGGCGGATCTCCGCACATGCCAGTTCTCCTTCACTTTCCCCAGTGAGTGGAAGCTGCCTGAGGCCCTCATTAGATACCCAGTCTTGAGCTTTTCCAGACAGCAGAATTGGGAGCCACATAAATGTTTTATTTGTTGTTGTCATTGTTAATAAATTGCCCAGCCTCAGGTATTCCTTTACAGCAACGTAAAATGGACTAAGACAATAGGGACACACGCTAAGGATTAATTCTACTGCCATTATAACACCTTAGGTTCCTTTTTATGAAGTGCCATTTTAATTACACAAATGACACATGAATACATTTCCCTTATTAAAAATAATGAAAACATTTGCATGAGGCTCAAGTCCTGTTTGACATCTGGTGTTATTCTGCAGTAACATAAAAGGGAAAAGCCCCAGTTTCAGTAGCTTCAAGAAACCAGGTTTATTTATTGTTCAAATCCATATCCATCTCAGGGCAGTGGGGATCTCTACTCCACAACCTTTCACTCATGTGCCTGTGATGGCAGCTCCTCCGCTATCTAGAATGTGTCACTAAGGCAAGAATGCAAAACATTTACAGTACTGGATGGTAACAGCGTCTTCCCCAGGCAACACAGACACTTCCCATCACATTCTATTGGCTAGAACAGACCACATGACCACCCCCAACTTCACCAGGTGAAAAAACGTCAATCTTACCATGCACCTGACTCCATCACTTACCAGCCGTGTGATTTTGGGAAAGTCACTGAATTTCTTTGTACCTCAGTTTCCTCATGTGTAAATCAAGAAGAGAAATGTAGCACTTATTTCAGAGGATTGATTAAAGAAGTAAATGACATTAAAAATGTAAAGAGCTTAGAAAGGTGTTCAATAATATTAGCTATGATGATGAGGAGGAAGATGATACTTTACATCCATAAATAAATCTTTGCGTATGTTTAAGAGTGATCTCATACTGTGGCTCTGTTCTGTAATCTATTACGTGGCTGAATCTCCAATACGAGCAGAAAGAATATTCTTCGCTGTATTCTATAATTTTAGGGCTCATGTGTATATATACACACATACATATTCATACATATGCACATATTCAATGTACAGATGGTCCCCAACTTACGATAGTTTGACTTACAATTTTTCAACTCTATGATAGTATGAAAGTGATATGCATTGAGCAAAAACTGCATTTTGAGTAGCCGTACAACCATTCTGTTTTTCACTTCAATAAATTCAATAAATTACATGAAATATTCAACACTTTTTAATAAAATAGGCTTTGAGTTAGCTGATTTTGCCCAACTACAGGCGAATGTAAGTGTTCTAAGGTAGGCTAGGCTAAGGAGGTTAGATGTATTAAATACATTTTTAACTTAATGATATTTTCAACTTACGATAGGTTTATCAGGATGTAACCTCATTGTAAATTGAAGAGCATCTATAATACAACATAATACAATAAGTATACATGCAAAGTACCTCTTTCTTTCTGTTTCCACGAAAACTGACTGACATAGAGTTTTACTGCATTTAGCCTGAGTCCAGAGGCACAATTCACAGAGCAAACAATGGGTTCACGTTTGGTATTTCCTGATGTGGGCAAGGGAGCAGGGTGGTTCTTGGCAGGCAGTTCTCGCCCATGTGCTCACTGGCCCTCCGCTGGCTGATGACAGAGACGACACATGGGTCAGGGAGCTCAGATGCTTGAATGGTGACACAGCTGGAACCCCAGTTAGTACATGAGAGAGGAAAGCAGAGTGAGTTGAAGTCAGTAGAGGGCACGTGAGACAGGTGTCAGAGCTGAAGAGTGGAGAAAGGGAGGAATGTGGGCAGAAGCCAAGTTCTGGTAGTAGAGGCTCTGGGAGGAGCCTGCATTTGTGGTGGTGGGGGCAGAGGTCGGGACTACTGAGACCCAGGCACCCAAAGGTCAATAGGGTCAAAGGGCACAAGGACTTCAGGCTGACTCTGGATGATGACATGCCCGGATGGATGTGGATGGACAGGTGCCTTGTACCTGCCTGGAGTGACATGGTTTGGATGTTTGTCCCCTTCAAATCTCATGTTGAAATGTGACCTCCAATGTTGGAGGTGGGGCCAGGTGGGAGGTGACTGGATCATGGGGGCGGACACCTTGCAAAGGGCTGAGCGCCATCCTCTTGGTAATGAGCGAGTTCTTGCTCTGAGCATTGATTGTTTAAAGGAATGTGGCACGTCCGCTGCACCTTGCTCCCTCTCTCACCATGTAATGCCCCAGCTCCCTTTCACCTCCCCCTACGACTGGAAGCTTCCTGAGGCCTCACCAGAAGCAGATGCTGGCACCACACTTTCTGTACGGCCTGCAGCGCCACGAGTGAATTAAACTTCTCCTTAAAAATTACCCAGCCTCAGGTATTTATTTATAGCATTGCAAAAATGGACCAACACACCCAGCATTCACCCCATGCTTCTGGAGCCATGCTCTGAGCTTGCTCTAGGAAACACAGCTTTGCTGCTCTACGTTCTGTGCCAGGGTGATCATGTGACTCAGGCTTGGCCAATGAGGTTTCACTTAACTCTGCCCACAATGATTGGTTCCGGTTGGACTTGGGTTTCTGGTCACCTACAACCAAGTGTATCTCGGTAGCTAGAATGTGCCCATTTGAAGACTGATGTCCATTGTCTTAGAGTGGAAAAGTGGACTGGCCGGCCTGAAAATACACTTGCAGACTTTCTTGGTTCATCCAGAAAAAATTCTGTTAGCTTCTCAAAAATTGCAGTTTACTTCCATGCTCCCTAAGAAACCCAGTGTTAATTCATCCTTAAAGGGTACATGTCTTTGGAAGAGCTTTCCATAGCCTCTAATGTCAATTTTCCTTTTAATAATTTGTCCCTGCAGTATTAATGTCCAATGCAGCTTCATCCCCATCCAGCCCACCCTGAAATCGCCATAGTAGCCAATCATTGTTTGATCAATTTGCTTTCTTTTTAAAATAAGTCCTAGTTGAACCCCTAAAGTGTGTTTACTCTGAATGCATTATAATTGTACTTATCAAATTAGAACTGTATTACCCCCCCTTAAGTTACCTTGAAAACAAAATCAATAGTTTATTTAACCAGAATCAAGAAAAGAAAAAAAAATACCTCGAGGAATCTGTGTAGTAAGTTTTACTTGGAAAGAAACAATGCGGATAAACATGAAGAAAGCATTTCAGTATAAAGCAGGGTGTATGGGTAGCTTGGAGGAATAAACAGGCACCAAATTTAATATTGTTCGTTTCTGTGCACCTTCTTATAAATAGCTCAGCAGGCCTTTGTCAAGCATGGGTTGCTTTCTGAGCAAGCAGTAGAAATAAACAATCGTATGACATTTTTAATAGTGACAGCAATTGGATTTAATGCAGGTATTTATACTATTCTTTAAGTACATATTTGAGACCCTTACAAAATTCGACTGCTCATCAGTGCCTCCAACTTGGACTATAGGGACAAAATTTGCTCTAATTCAGATACCACCAGTTAGGCTCCCTGTGTGTGTTTTAAATTTGCAATTCCTCCGGTTTTTCTGCCCCCAGGTCATAGCTTCTCAGTACTGAGCAGAAATGACAATTCCCCATGGCGTGACAGATGTGGCCCAATATCGTCTATGACCTGAGACTTCCCATCAGTTAATCTCCTGCTGGCACTGTGAAAATATCTGATTGTAATCAGGAGGTGCATTCTTCAAGGACTGATGAGCGTCTCCTGGGAGATGGATGGTTGGATGAAATCTGAACGCAAGAGGAAATCAGAGGGTTGGCTCTTTTGCCAGCTTCCAAATCTATCTTTTCCAGGTCTCCACATGCTGGTCCTAGAGGTCATGGAATTCTAGAGTTAGAAGAGACTGAGAGATTCTGGCACTTTGGGAGGCCAAGGCGGGATCTCTTGATCCCAGGAGTTTGAGACTAGCCTGGGCAACATGGTGAGACCTCATCTTTACAAAAAATTTTAAATAATTTAAAAATCAGCTGAGTGTGGCAGCACACATCTGTGGTCTCAGCTATTCAGGAGGCTGAGGTGGGAGGATCACTTGAGCCTGGGTGTTTGAGGCTGCAGTGAGCCATGATTGCACCACTGCACTCCAGCCGGACAACAGAGCAAGACCTTGTCTCGAGAGACAGAGAGAGAGAGGGATTGAGAGATTCTGAAGCTCAGCTCCTCATTTATTGAACCATTCATATATGTATTCCATCAAGCATCTCCTGAGTGCTTTCCCCATGCCTGGCCCTGACCTGGGCTGTAGGCACATACTAGCAAATAGAGTAGATATAGTCTCTACCCAACCTAGTTGAAGAGACAGAAAAATAAACAAATAAAAATGACCAGCAAACACACAAACAAGATAATTTCAGGTGGCGATGTGTGCCACAGAGAAAATAGGCAGTTCCTATTACTCCCTGTTGCCCAGGTTCTGAAGCTTCTGTGGTTCTCATGGCTCCTAAAACCCAGTTCACCAGATTGGCCTCGCTTAGACCTTACACATATCTTTGCAATCTGGCTCTTTTTTTTTGGCTTAAGTTAACTAGAGTCAGTTTCACCTGTTTGTAAGCAGAGTCTTTGATAGACACGGTAATGGAGAGTGCTTGAGAAATAACTGGCAGATCTTTGTATTATAGTAAGATTGTGCTCAGAAGAACTGGAAATAAAATTTAAATCAGAACATTGAGTGAGATAGGA